CAAATGAAGTTCTTTGGTAAAGCAAACAACTTTTGGCAGCACTTTGCTTTTGAAAAAAATATATCTTTTTTTAAAAGAGGAAAAAATACTTGCTGTTTCCTTCACCTCTCATCACTGTAGACACCAGAGAAGACAAGAGGAGGAAGTGCCTCCATGCATTTTCTAGGGAGGTTTGCAGTTCTTCTCCCTCCCCACAGAGCTCTGGCTCCCACGTGGCTGTGCCAAAGCAGTGTGAAATCTGCCCTGCAGGCGAAGAGGAGGTGTGGGAACTGGGATCCAAAGGAGTGGACGTGTCATGCCCATAACCAGTGCACCGTGAAGCTGTGAGTCAAACAGGTCATGTTGCTTGTGTGATCATCAGCAGTGAGGAGCACATCAGGCTCAAGAAGAGATGAGGAGGAGGTAGACAAAATGCATTGAGAAGCTACAAGTGTGACCTGATCTTGGGCAAGAAAGATGCTTTGCAAGGGAAACATTATCTGTCTATTTGGTTTACTGAAGGAGAGTTTAGACACAAACTATGTCTTCACACGGAGTTGGTCTTTGATGGCAGAGGCTTCCTCAACAAGGGCAGGTACGATGACTTTCTGCAGACAGAAGCTCATGCAGGAAAATAATTCAGACTGGATGTGTGAGAAAAAATGCTAGCAGTGAAGGTAAATAACCTTTGGAAGAATGTATCAGGAGGTGTCACTGGTCTCCTTCATGGGAAACGTCAAACCCAGGTTTTTTGGAAAGGATGGGCTTCAATCAAAGCACAAAGCACAAAGCTGATACGAAGTGACGTGTACTTTATAGGGGGCACACTGGAAGGAGACACCTCTCCTCCCAGCTTTAAAAATTGCTGGTTCTGCTTCCCTAGGGATGTGCCCTCTAATGCCCCAATATGACAGTTGTAGATGCTGAGGGAATACCAGGAGAATGGATAGTAGGTGACGGCCCCTGGCTATAAGCCAAACCGAAATGCCATCTCCTGTAGTCACTGCTGGGGACAGCATGCTGGGCTTGAGGCACCATCGCACTGAGTTAGTGGGATGTTTCTTATGGTCTTGCTTAAAAGGTCTGATGGACAACAGAGGAAAACTATAACTAACAGTGCTAACACCTTTCTTCAAAACCTGCTGTGAGACCCAGGAGAGCAGATGAAGATTCATACATTAACTTTGCATCCAAAGGATGCAGAAAACTGACTGACATCCCAGTCACATCAGGGAAAACGCATCCTCAGCATCACCCCATTCCCACTGTGAACATAAAGAGTGCCTGGTTGATGCACTCAGATGTAGACACTCATGGGAGCAGTGCCTAGTTGGCATCGATCCTGCTCCTGCAGCCCTTGGCCAGGCAGAAAGCAGACTTGAATCTTGGCTAGATGGGGTCAGTGACTCATTTAAATAACCAACTAGTATCCCTAAAAGTCAGAGCTGAGGGTATAAAAGGCACCCCTGTGGGCTGTCCCTGCTAGAGGACAGCAGCAGGTTAGCTTAGGCTCCTTGCCCGAAGAAAGTGGAGCCAGAGTACATCCCACATCAGCCAGCCCCGCTAGAAATCCTACTAGCAGTCAGAAATAGGCCATGCAAGGAGGCTGGGAAGCTGGCTGTATGGGTACTCATGAAGCCCTGAGCAGCATCTACTTCTCACATTCTTGGGATAAAGACTAGTGCTGGTGCCATCCAAGGTGAGTTAGGTTTCTCCTACGGCTGTCAGTAAGAGAGGACAGCCTGGTGCCAACTGCTCAGGATTCATCCCATGGGTGTCAGCAAGAGGCACTCACCCAGGTTTGTACAAATTGGGATGAGAAGAGACTTGGGTTCTCTATGCCTGCAGTATCTGGCAGGGATGGAAGGGAGAGAGAGTAGCATGTAGAAAAGTCACCCCCCAAAGTGTCTGGTCAGAAAGATAAAGAAATCCAATTGAAACCCAAACCCTGCAATTTAACGCTGGGTTTGGAATGAGTGATGTGTCTCCCAGGCTGTTGTACTGCCAAGTTGCACGGTGCCTGGACACCCATGGTTTCCTTCAAGCGTTTCCCTTTCACCTTGGCAGCTCTGACCGAAAGCAAAGAAGGCAAACCAGAAAGCGAGCGCTGCTGGGGCCAGTTTTTATATCTAGTTGACCCTGTTATTGTGCTAGCATTCCATAGCCACACTAGCAGTAGAGCTGTTAGAGGATTATAACCTCACGGGTATTACAGTGATGCCACTAGAGCTACTAATTTGGCAAAACCTGGATCCTATTGATGATTCAGCCTATGGCCTTTTGCCACATCCCACTTGCATGTTACAGAATTCATTGTCTTGGAAATTACAGTTACAGTCACCAGAAATTAGCAGCCAGCAGTTGAATGGGATTCAACCAGTGCCTCTTGCATGTGGACTTGTTCCTCCTCTCTCTGGCTGCATCCATACAGCTAAATAAAGCCATTGAATACCCACTCTGTGGTTTGAAGCCGGGTAGGGCAGCAGACCTTGCGTTCCCAAGCCTTGATAAGACCACTACCACTCAAATTAATGGAGTTACACTGGTCAAGAGCCCCTGTGTACTAAAGCAGAAAAGACCTGGGTTCACACCCTCACACCAGATCATACTGTTAAGCTTTTGCTCGCAAGTGAAGCTGCTCAGTAGATGTAGGGTGCCTTATCAAGATGATGCTAAGTTGTGTATTGAAATGCGGTAAGTGGGTGCTGTGTGTGGGTGTCAGGACACAAAGAATATGGGCAATAAAAAATTTTGCAAAAGCATCGCCACAGAAATGAACTCACACTTTGAGTAGGAGTTACCTTCAGATGCACTGAACATTCATTTTTGTCCTGTTCTACAAATACTGCTGATGGGGAGCTGCTCCTCAGAAGGTCACGTGTAGAAAGTGAGATGAGCACAGATGCGTACGGGGCTTTGGGCACTGCAAGGACCCTCACTCACCCTTGAAGGTGGTCTTTTCTTTGTAAGAACAACAACTCTTTTTGTATACCAGCCTGATGACAAGGATGTATATTTAGGTTGAAGACATCCCCCTGCACCTGTGGGATGAGGGACACTTCTCCTACCCACCCCAGGAAGGCAGCTGGGTCTCAGGGGGCTGGACCTCAGTACCACCAGAGCCCGGAGGCTGGCTGGACTGCAGGAATGAGGGGTGCCACCTCTGTGGTCGTGCCCCCCCAAACCTAGTCATTCAGTTAAGTTAATCAGTCAAACAGAAATAATCCCAGTGGATTCAAGTGGTGATAACCAATGTAAATAACAAGCACCTTTTGCTCATTTAAGGCTTTTATGGCAGAATACTTGCGCCAATAACTTGCAGAATTAAATTTGCTGGTAAAAAGTGTTTGTGCAGCTACCAACTACAAATCAGGAAGAAATAAATAATAAATAGCTGGATGCTCACAGTTACTTTGGGAACAGAGAAAAGGATACATTTAAGCAAAACAATTCACTCTCTTTTCCTCAAATCTGTCTGAAAATATTCTCAAAGTGTCTCTCAGCACTGCAAAAATTATCTTCTGTTCTCATTTACAAGAAAATATGAAGAACTGAGAGCTATATATTCCTCACATCTTTAATGTTTTTGGGGAGGCTGTGTCATCAGCGGTTCTAACATTCACAGTATCCCACTTATTTATCTACTCAAGCCTCCTTTTCTATTTTTTCTTATGCACAGGCTCTCTGCAGTCTGGCAGAGCCAGTATTGCAGTATTGATTTAGCAAGAGGAAGTTGTGACAATTGAGTCCCAGGCTGAAGCCCACGCTGTACAGGGGCTGCTCCACCTAGAGCACAAGCCTCATCCCCAGTGCCGGGCTCACATTTTAAAAGAAGCAAAAATAATTTTAAAGAAAAAAAAAAAAAAGGTAATAAAAGCTACTTTTATCTGTTCTGCTTTGAAGGGAAAAAGGATTACCAAGGCTAAATAAGCCATCTGAGTATTTAGCTAGCAAGCCTAAATAGCACCCTGATAGGAAGTTCTGGCAGAGACCTAATTAAATTAACCCTCTTTGATTTATTAACAAGCACTGCAACGTATCACACAGGATTGTCCCATGAAATGAATGTGCTTTCTGATTCCCTTGGCTGCTTTGGCGCAGTCACCTCCCAGAAAACCCAGCGATGGGGACTCAAGTTTAATAAGACTCAATGGCTCGAAAAGGATCCCTGCCCACCAACAGAGACACACACTGGTAATAATATGCAAAAGCATGTTATTTTCCTTGCACATCCCTAATTCCTTTTTAATGCCTAGGACGATCTAATGGCTAATTAGTAATTTCCTGCCCACTGATATGCAGATAAATGACAAGCAAAAGCCTTCTGCATATTTAATTATTCTGTTGATTCAGAAGCCACTTTTCCCTCAGTGAAAGTTTCTCTCTGTGTGTGCTCTCATGCATCATATATTTCATTATTTTTAGAAGCATGCTCTGTGCTTTTTTATGCTCTTGTAGTTCCAGCATCCAGTAATTACCATGTTTTGTGTCCAATGGACCTGATTCACTGATGAGTGTAAATCAGGAAAACATCACTGACTTTAAATTGAGTTATTCCAAGTTATGTCAGATCTAAGATCTGACCTCTCCTATTTTCAGTGGTGGGGGGGAAATGTTATTTGTGTGCTGGGACCCTTTTGAAGTAGCAGAATATAAAATTTAGAAAACTTCAGAACAGTGAAAATCCAACTCAAATCCTGCAAATGCACAGATGTGAATCTATTTATAAAGTGAGCTCTACTTCTGCTTAACCCCTGCGAGGAACTGTAACTCTCTTTGCCTGTTTGATTTTTCTCCCTCAGTAAAACATAGTCCACTTAATCTGTTTTTGCTGCTTTCTAACAGTTTCACTGGTGGGCTTCTTCCCTATGCCTTACATTTACCTTTGGTGCCTGAGTGCTCTATTGTTAAATTAAGGCAATTAATAAATGGAGACGTTAAGCAATCAATTTTGCCTGCATATCTCCACAGCCTTACGTATGACTGGCTGTAATCACAAGATAAATGCAATGTGCTGATGTATGGTAATGTTCAATAATACATTCTCCACCAGGCTCAATTCATCAGGGAGTTTCTGGAGGGGAGGCATTCGTTATTGGCTGTCTCCGGACCTCAAGGATAACATTTCTGTCCTTTCCATTGGCCGCCCTCCTGCTGCAAGCCTCTTCCCGTCTTATTTTGATGATGAATATGAAGGCATGCTAAGCCGTGCCGGAGCGTAGCTCTCGCCGACTGCACTCCCTCCCCGGGCTCAAGGACTCAGGGGCTCCCTCACTGCTTCCCTTGCCCACCGCCCGCAGCAGCAGCAGCAGCAGCAGCAACGCCAGAAGTTGTGATGCTTTTCTTCACCCAGTGCTTTGGGGCTGTGTTAGATCTTATTCACCTGCGGTTTCAGCACTACAAGGCAAAGAGGGTTTTTTCAGCTGCCGGGCAACTTGTCTGCGTCGTCAACCCAACGCACAGCCTAAAGGTGAGTTAAAAATATTTTTTCTCTTCTGACATTTTCTCGTCCTCCCTGCACCCCACCGGCATTTCTCCACAGGGAATTAAATGATGCTCTAGCAGCAAGGGGAGAGATGTTATTAGCACATTGCAGCCCTGGCAGAGAGGATGTTTGCATTGTCTGGCTGCATGAACCCCTTTGGAGCGAAGGAGAAGCAACCCGCTGCTCCAAGAGACAGTGGGAAGTCGCTGCTCCCCCTCCCCAAAGTTTCCTCATCCCTTTCACCCCTGTAACGAGCACATGTGTTGCAAGTGTCTGGAAAAAATGATTGGAAAAGTTAGTTAGAAGAATTAAGATCCCTTTTTGGTGGAAGGACACTGGGTAGTCTCCCAGGCTGACACCCAAGCACAGTCAGCTCCTAACTCAGCGGTGGGGAGCGGGGAGAGGGGGAGCAGCAGCACAGGCGTCTCCAGCTGCTGGTCTTGTTTGCTTTTTTGGGGGAAAAAGGCTGTTTCTGTCTCCCGAGGGGAGTGTGAAGGCATTCCTCTGGCGCTGAAAGCGTCCCTAAGCTGTTTGCAAGGTGACTCTATTTTAGGCAGGAGAATACATTTGCCTTAATGCAAAACTATTTATAGTCCCCATAAAGCATTTTTCTTACTCGTACAGTTCTGAATTCTTACTGACAAAGTGTCAACAGCTCCATCTATGCCAGAGCCCTAATGTTTTCACATAGAGAAGGAGCAGCAGGGGGAGAAAGCAACTGGGAGGCTTTAATTACTTTATCAGAGTAGTGAATGACCAACTTTAACAAAGTGACTCCTGTTGTGTGGCAAGTCATTGTGGACCTGACTTGTAATGCTGCTCTGCTAGCCCAACACAAGCTCAGAAATTAAATTAATTCAGGACAACTTATCTTTGGCTTTGATGGGTTTTCCACAAGGAACTTGGAGGGTTGTAGGTAGCATAAGTCCTGAATCACAAGCCCCCAGGAGGTCTGCTGACAGAGTAAATCCCTCTTTGGAAGAGCATTTCCCTCCTAAAAAGATCAGATTCCTCGGGTTTATATTTCTGGCCCCAGGCTGCACGTAGGCAGGGAGCAGTTGTTTCTAGCAGGGCACCAGTTCTGGGAGGATTTCCCTGCGAGGCTGTGCTCCGCCTGTCGAGCACACCTGGCCAGGGCAGGTGCTCTCAGGGGATGGAGTGCTTGAGTGTGGGCTCACTTCTCCCAGCATCGAGCTCTTCTGTCCATGCAAACTATTTAAAAACCCTGTAGCTCTGTCATTATCTGAAAGGATCTGGCTGTCCGAATGGATAAGAGAAATAGCAACATTCTAAGTGCATGGGGGGACTTTGTAAGTGAATGATTCCGTGCTTGACCCCTTTATGTGACTGTCTCCTGCTACTTTCATCTATAATTTTAATTATTACAGAAAAAAAAATGAGCAGAAATAAGGCTATTGAAGGTCACAATACAATTTCAATGGCAATGACACTGTCTAATGAGGTCCCATAAGCACAGAGGGGTGTCCACTGACTGCTCCACTGGTATCTAGAACTAGACCTGAATTTATCAGCTCAGGTCCTCTCAAGCTGCAGACTTGCTGTTGTAGAAGATGCAGCATTTTACCTTTGAGCATACCAAAAAAATTTGATGCTCCTGTTCCTCTCTTTTAAACACACAGGGCATTCTAGTGCATTAAAAACCCACACGGCCAAGTTCTTCACTGATCAGACCCAAAACCTAGCAGATAAATAAGCAATCTCAGTACTGTCTTGGCAGCTCTTGAAAGTAGGCACTGGGTGCAGAACTCTCTTGGAAACAAATGGGAGCCTTTAGGGAAGGATCTGACATGTCAGTGAAGCCCCAGTGAGAACTGCCTTCACCTGGGTGGGAATTGTTCTGGCAATAGGATTGCAGTGGGAACCCGGTGGCACATATTTCCCACACAGGCCTGTTGTGACATCAGGTAGGTGGAACAAGCTGACAAGAAACCTCTCTGCTCTGAAAAAACCCTCCGACTGTAAAGTGAAATATGCTTTGAAGGTACTCCCGAGTTACCCAGCTCACATCCGGCTGGATAACTAGTGGGCTTTAGCACCCATCTGTTCTCAGGGTGTTCAGTTTGTTTTCTCATCAGCTCTGTAAGGAACTCACCACTGCTTTGGGTCAGCACCCAGAAGAGGCAAGTGGGTTGGTCACCTTTGTGCCCAGCATAGTAATGCTGGTGCCCACTCACCAGCATTAGTGAGCAGCAGGAGCCTGTGGGCCACAGTCGGCTCTCCCCAGGTGAGACATCTCTCCCCACCTCCTCTTACCTGGGGTTGGAGAGGTGGTCACCTACAGCTGGCAAGGTGCCTTGTCCAAAAACCAGTAGCAAAGACAAGTCAGATGAACCTGATTCTCAGGATGCCCATTTTTCCCCTGGGGATGCACAGGGAGGTTGTGATTGCTCCCTTCAGCAAGCTGGTGCAGAGACTTCTGAAGCTGAGATAGGGATAGCATAGTAATGCTGGTGCCCACTCACCAGCCTTAGTGAGCAGCCGGAGCCTGTGGGCCACGGCCGGCTCTCCCCAGGTGAGACATCTCGCCCCACCTCCTCTTACCTGGGGTTGCAGAGGTGGTCACCTACAGCTGGCAAGGTGCCTTGTCCAAAAACCAGTAGCAAAGACAAGTCAGATGAACCTGATTCTCAGGATGCCCATTTTTCCCCTGGGGATGCACAGGGAGGTTGTGATTGCTCCCTTCAGCAAGCTGGTGCAGAGACTTCTGAAGCTGAGATAGGGAAACCACCCCCAAACTGTCCCATAAGCCAAATGACACCTGAGGGATCATCAAAAATGAAAGGGCTGAACGTATTCCTCTGTGGTGGTTTACAGTATTATGACTACTTTGACGTTTCATAGTCTATTATTTCTAGATGGGTCATTTCAACTGTAACGTTTTGTTGACAGCCCCCAAATCTATCTTAACAATTGACAAGTGGCGTGAAAATTGTATTAAGTTTCACAATCGATGAATACAAGCCAGCTAGGAAACAAGGGCTAGGAGCCATTTCTCTCCCTTCCCTTCGAGGCTTTAATGTTTGTGCTTACCCCAAAATTGTCAGCTCTTTTCAAAGGGATTATTTTATTCCATATCCCCACAGCACCCAGGCGAGGGGGTTCCTGGTTGACTGGTGCAAATGATAAATGACAGGCATCATATTCTGGTGTGATTGTGCACGTTGACATCCCTCCCATACGTCAGGTCCTCAGTCAGTGCCAACGTGCAAAATTCCATTAAAGTCAAATTGCACCAGGACCTCCATTATCTCTCCTTCCATCCAGGGGAGTGCTCAGAGATGATGGTGGGTTCCAGCCCACCCTCAGGACCCAGGCTTGGTGATCACATATGTGTGTCAGATTTGGCATCACGTGAAGCACTCGGTGAGCAGTAGAGGGAAGGGGAGCCCTGGTACCCTCCAGGGAAAGGTTGCACCAGCTTCTGCTGTTACAGACCCATAGCTAGACCAAGGAGATCCTCCAGTAAAGTTATGTCAGCATGCTGTCACTGCAACCACAGCCTGGACCTCTGACCATGACCAGAGCCCATCCCTTACCTCTTTCTTTAGGAGAGGTTTGGAGGTTGGCAGAGGAGCACAGGCTTAGAAGGAAACCCCGGTCTTTCTTCCCACTGAAGGGCTCATTAGCTGAGAAAGCTGATGAGCGATTCAGTAAGGAAAAGACAGTAAGAGTGTCAGCGCAGACAACTCTATTGATCTGCTGCTACTTTCCCTGGGCACGACAGGCTCACACAGGAGGCTCTAAACAAGGAAAGCGAGGAAAGACAATTTTGCAACTGTCCTCCATTTTGCCTGTTTGGCAGGGGTATGAATAGGGTATGTGTGGGGGTGGTTGTTTTGGAGCTTCTTTGTCCTTCTTGCTGCTTGCTGCTCTTTGTCCTCCCACAAGCTTTCCCAGGCATGGCAGCAGCACCTTACAATGTTATGCTATGCTAGGATCAAAATTTGCTAGCCAAGCAGAGAAAATCACGTATTTACTGCACTTCTATAAGTCACCTTTCTTCTTGATCATATTATATGCATTACCTTGTAACCTGTCTTCCTTCAAGCCTACAGTCACCCTGATGTCTCCCCTTGGAGCGGCTTGGCCAGGCAACAGAGCTCCCCAGCTAAGTGGCTGCTCCCTCCAAGACCATATTAATTAGAGGAACATTATTCCTG